CACTTCTCTCAAATTCTATATACGTCCTAAAGGGTGATACGGTCAAAATTTGGTCAAGGGAAAACGCGTGTAAATCGGTGAAATCGTTTATTTAAAAAATCAAATTAAATTTCTTTTTCAAGTTCAATTAGTATAAAATTCAGGAAAAATATTCAGTTAGGCTTCCGCTTTTCCAAATCCGAATTGCCGGGCCTTACGCTTTACCCCTACCATCAGATTTTGTACAGCCACCTTGTCCACCTTCTTCGCCGCAGAAAGCCAGTTTGCCTTGAACTGCTGCTCGCCCTTAGCAGTTTTTTTGGTCTTCTTTAGGTTCCGCTTGACAATAGCCCAGTATTTCTCAATTGGGCGGAGCTCTGGCGTGTTGGGAGGGTTCTTGTCCTTGGGAACCACCTGCACGTTGTTGGCGGCGTACCACTCCATGGCCTTTTTACCGTAATGGCAAGATGCCAAATCCGGCCAAAACAGTACGGAACAACCGTGTTTCTTCAGGAAAGGCAGCAGACGTTTATTCAAACACTCTTTCACGTAAATTTCTTGGTTGACAGTCCCGGAAGCTATGAAAATGCTGCTTTTCAAGCCACAGGTACAGATGGCTTGCCAAACCAGATATTTCTTTGCGAACTTTGACAGTTTCATGTGCTTGAAAACATCTGCTACCTTTCCCCTTCCTTTTGCCGTATAAAACTCCTGTCCCGGAAGCTGCTTGTAGTCGGCTTTGACGTAGGTTTCGTCGTCCATTACCACGCAGTCAAACTTCGTCAGCATCGTCGTGTACAGCCTCCGGGATCGCGCTTTGGCCGTCGTATTTTGTTTATCATCGCGATTTGGAGTCACTACCTTCTTGTAAGTCGATAGTCCGGCTCGTTTTTTGGCTCGATGCACGGTTGTAGACGATACACCCAGCTTATTTGCGGCATCTCGGAGAGAGAGGTTAGGGTTTCGCTTGAAACTACCGGCAACTCTCTTTGTCGTCTCAGCGGCTTCCAGTTTTCGATTTCCCCCCGATCCAGACTTCCTGGCTGTCGACAAACGTTCCCCAAACACTTTAATTATATTTGTAACGGTTGATTTGGCAACTTTTAGCGATTTTGCCAACTTTGCGTGCGAGTAGCTCGGATTTTCGCGATGCGCGAGCAAAATTTTGATACGCTGCTCTTCTTGCTTGGACGCCATTTTGACAACTGAAGAGTGAATTCCAAAATCAAAATAGGAGCAACATTCTACACACACACACCTTCAAAATGAGGGGTGTTCAGGTTTTTTAAATGCAAAATTGAAAGAAATACGTCAAGTTGAAATTGACCAAATTTTGACCGTATCACCCTTTACCAGCGTTCTCTGGAAAATGGTCGGACGATGATTAATCTCACCAATACATTCGGGCCTACAATTCCACACCTTCTATAGAGGCCATGTTTAGCCTTGATAGCTAGCTGCTTGCGGGAACTGATGACCTCGACAAATGTCCAAATAATACTCTTAACAAATTTATGGTGGTCCTGAAAAGGACCGTTTTGTAGTGATGGTTGAGGAATGCTGAGCTGAGCACGACGAGCTACTGATTCCGATCCTAGCCTAGCGGTGGGACTTCTTCCTCCTTTTCTATGGTTACTCATATGAGCTCTGCAGCTCGCAGCTTGCAGGTAGCCTTTCGTTGTTGTTGTTGTTGTTGATGAAAGCACTCCAGCTACTGCTGCTGCAGCTGGACTGGACGCCGCCACTTACGGTGATTGAATGAGCACCGTTCAGTGGGACCGCATCGAATTCGATTTTTAAGTCTGTGCTAGGGAATGCGCTGTTTTCAGACATTCGGTGATAATTTTGATCACCATTGCAACAGTTGGACATTTGGTATTTTTCAATAGTGACCTATTGAAAATTAACTAAGTATTCATTTAAGCAGACGGGTAGATAATTTTTTTTTGTGAAATTTGAAGTAAAACAAATCCTAGCTAGTTCTGCATGATGATTTTGTTGATAAAATCATTTATTTGTTAAGTCGCCCGGAACTACCAGCTGACGATTTGTTTTTAATGATAACTCCTTACTTGAAAACAGGCAAAAACTGCTTTTTCATGGTATACAGTGTGATAATTCAATAATCAATAAATTATCTCAATATTTAGTGGCTAACCATTCATAAATTTTGGTAACATACAAAAAATTCTATAATCCCCATTTAATTTCATATGTAAGCGCCGATTGAAACAATCTTTTTGACGTCACTACAAGGGTGATTGATTAAACGAAAGAAACGAATCGTGCGGAATGCAAGCCGAGGAAAAACTAATTGCACCAATTTATTCAGGCCTACAATTCCACACCTTCTATAGACAGGTTGAGCCTTGATGGCTAGCTGCTTGCGGGAACTGATGACCTTGACCAATGTCCAAATAATACTCTTTAACAAATTTTTGGTGGCCCTGAAAAGGACCGTTTTGTAGTGATGGTTGAGTAATTCTGAGCTGGGTGTTCAACACGTATGAGGCTATCGAGCTGTATGTCGTTTGGAGCGAGGGTGACACGCTTGGCATAGATGACCGACCCGCAGCGACTCACGAAGAGCTACTGATTCCGATCCATAGCATAGCGGTGCAGCATCTTCCTCCTTTGATGGTTGCTTATGTGGGCTCTGCAGCTCACTGCTTGCAGATAGCCTTTCGAGAACAATTTTCAACGCCACACGCCGAAAGCACTGCTACTGCTGCTACTAATTTCGACGACCGAACACCACCACACAGTGGTGTGGTCGTTGGGAGCGTGTGGTTCTGAGTATAACGATGAGTGTGCAAAATATTACGCAAATCCATCCTCCCTATTCGCACGCGCCCGAGGATCGGAGGCGAATGCCACTTCGAGTTGTTTCGTCTACTTACTACTCTCTGACGACTGTGCTGGGGAAGCAGCATATGCATGTAGGTAATTGGTGGATTTGTTAGTTAATACGACGCTGCTGGACATTTACCAGTGTTTCAATAGTTTCTTGTTGAAAATCAGCATGCGTAGCCATATTTCTGATCGATTGGTGATAAAATTATTGAAATTGGACCGGGGGCAGCTGAGTTATTAACGTTCAAAATCTTTCTTAATTTGTTACATGTTCCATTTTCGGTTTTCACAAATTGTACCCCCATATAGAAATCAAAGACGTAGTCCTACGTCAAAAGTTGAAACTAATAAGATGATAAATGAACATCGTTCGGATTCGCCAACGCAAACCAACTAAATGAACAGGTAGGGGAAATTCTCCTCTACCCGATTGTGTGATAGGTTTGCGAATGTATGTTTTGGTTCGCGAGAAAATGGCCTTACAAGGTTTGTTTACAGGCCTTTTCAATTGTTGGTCTTGATATCTAGATAGAGCTGGAATTAGGGCGTAACAGCTTTTGTAAACAATCGCTTCTCTCGATGGTTTTTCGAAAGGCATGACTATCCCTGGCAAATCAACATTACCATCGAATAGGGGAAGACTTCCCCTACCGGATGGATAAGTTGGTTTGTGTAGGCTCCAGAAAGTATGTTTTGTGCAGAATATGTAAAAAGGAGGGACTTTGAATGCTAATCTAAATGCATATATAGAGGTACCAGACATGTTTTGTTAGAACATGTTAGGTTCTCTGTTTTGTAATCTGTAAAAGGGAAATCACAAATTGGTTCTGAATATGGTGATGAGTGTGCAAAATGTTACGCAATTGTATCCTCCTTCGCACACGCTCGAAGATTGGAGGCGATTGCCACTTCAACTTGTTACGTCTACTAACAACTCCCTGATGTCAGTATTGGGGAAGCAGCAATGCTACATCGACATGTTTTATCTAGAAACGATTCTCTGATGACTGTGTTGGGGGAGCAGCATATGCATGTACGTAATTGGTGGATTTGTTAGTTATTTCGACGCTTTTCGATAATGCTTGACATTTACCACTTTTTCAATAGTTTTTTGTTGAAAATCAACAGTCTAAAGCATTGTTATCGATTTGTCGAAGTATTGCTGATTGATTGGTGATAATATTTTTGAAATTGGTCCAGGGGCAGCTGAGTTATTAACGTTCAAAATCTTTCATAATTTCGTTACATGTTCCATTTTCGCTTTTCCCAAAGTGTACCCCCATATAGAAATCACAGATTTGTTGTCGATATTCAGTGTCATGACGAGAATTTTAAAACTTGAATTTACATCAATTCAATGCTATATTTTTGTGAGTATCGCAGAATATCCTACGCTTCACAGGTAGAGATTTCAGTTAGTCCGAAATCTAAACTAAAAACCTTGTGATTAACGATAGAAAGTGAGTTGTAGTCTTCAACATAACACAACAGAATGTCCAACGCTGCTGCTTTTCCAAATCCCGTGCCATTTCCACTCAACCTTTTTAAACTGTTTGTTTTGTTGAAATATTTCTTGTTTGCCGCCTGAATTTCTCCATTGATCCTTTTTTTTCCCACGCTGAAATCTATTTGAACCGACAATCTAAGGGCTTTAATCCGGTTTTTCTTTCCTCTTGCACGTAAATCGATTTGGTATACAAAAAATTGTCTTCGTCTGTATCCGTTTGTCGATGGATTTCCGCTTTTGGGTGTGCGTCCCGAATGCTCCGACTTGTTGACAGAGACACTGCCGAAACGTCTAGCCGGTATTTCGGTTTTCCTTTTTTTTGCCATCGTCGTGAGTCGCCTGCAGCGGACACGGAAATAACCCGTATAATGATGGACGTCCTTCGTTTTCACCGGGTTTTCTCCGGGATTGGGCGTGCGAATGCCGCATGGTCGAGGGAATTTTTAAAACCCCTTCGGGACCGGGATAAATCACAAACAGATGGGGTTCAAGGCAAAATAAGCTTAAGAGCCTATCGCAGCCGGATCAGTGTACGGGCAAGGCAGATTATTGCATTATAGGGGGCAAATTTGTTCGAATTTTCCGACCCATTTCACCATGAGAAGAAGCTTGCAGGAGAGTGATCTAATTTTAACACAATTTTGTTCTATTCCCATTCCAGGGCGGTCGAGTTTGCTACACGTCGAACGGTCGCGAAGGACAAGGAGTGATATCGTTGCGATCCGCCGGTGACATATCCATTCCCCAACGAGGCCCCATCCGACGAGGGCTGATTGTGCCGCAGCAGCCACCAAACCCACCGACCATCATCCCGCTCAAACATGCGAGGTAAGCCGATCTATTTGTTCGTAGGTACCTACCTCATCATCATAATCATCCGAATGTAAACAATTATTTTGAAAACAGCCATCTTTCCTCATAACACTCACCGTAATCGCGAATTAGCTCATTATTGCTTTTTAAATCTCCCGACATACGGGAAGGTGGTAGGCCGTAAAACAAGCGAGACCCAGCAGACCGGCAGAATCTGGCTGTAATTATAATTTTACAATAAATTTAATCAGTTTAACATAAATTTCAATTAGGTGCCAGCGGGAAATTTTCCACAGGCCGCCATAGTTAGCACTTCCGAGTGTATGAGTGTTTGAATATTAGTGGCCCCGGCCGTTAAACGATTTCCGCCTCCGCAATAAAACACCTAGTTGGAAAACCGACGAGCTTGGCAGGAGTCGCAGGCGTAGATAATGATTAAATTTTAATTTAATTTCCACCAGCCGAGACGAGGTGCCGGCTGGCGCTGGTGAGGCCGCGTCGTTATCGTCATCGTTTCCATCTATATAACCCATTTACAGCAAGCATCGTGAAGGTTGGCCCGCAGTCATAATCATATCATCATCATTATTGTAAAAATTCCTAGAATCGTCTTCCGGTGCTTGCCGTCGTTGTCGTCGTCCTTTTTAACCATCGCTGGTGTTATCTCTTTCTAATTTCAGATCCCACGACCGGGAAAGTGGAGACTACGCCGGATCGATATCGGATCTGCACAGTGTTACCTCACGCCTCAGCCAGGTTTCGGTGAGTAGCTATGTTTACGAAATGGTTGTGCTACTTGTTGCTGTGGACCAGGGTCTCAATTAAAAATAATGACTAAATCGTCCGGTATGGCCTGTTTACAATTGCGCAACCAACTAGCACGAATTTCAGTTGCTCCTGAAATGTCATGCTGGTAGATGCCAACGTTACACCAGCACAGATGTAAACACCCCAATCTACAATCTGGTCTGAGCAATCTGGCTAGAGGATTTCGAACTAAACTGTATTTCAACTGACTCGCCAAGCAACGTTGCTGGAGATGGCTGGCTTCCATCTAGTAAAAAGTTGACAACGCCGATGGTTGAGTTCCAGCCAAGGTCGTTGGAACTTTTTGAGCCGACAAATCTTTGTTCTTTAAGGTTGGATGTGCCCGATGCTAACAAATTTAAAAACTACAAGAGACAGTCCTATGGGATTGTATGCAATGGTGACGTAGGACTACGTGGTCTTAAATATAATCAAGATGGTGTTTCAATATGATGTCTGTGTTTGGGAAACAATCACTAAATGAAATTTTGATTGCCTTTCTTTTTGCACACGCCAGCAAGCTACACAGACTCCTCCCATCATGAGTAGTTTGCTATCAAGTAGCGACACTGGCTCCTCTCCTTTTGCGTAGTTTGGCAATGTCAACACCTTGAAAGCATAGGGAAATTAACGAGTTATTAACGAAACAAAAATTCGATTAAGAGAATCGATTGATATCACTTGCACCCCTGCTTCCAAGTTTGGTTACAAGACTATAACTCTGGAGAGCATTTTGTGTAATCGTGTGGTTCTGAATATGGACAATCAGGCACAGATAAATTCTATTTCAACTCTTTACTGTAATCAACTTGGTGGTGATTTAACCTCCGAAACCGTACAGAGGGCGTCCCTATCGTTTCAAAGCGTAGACGGCATCCATGGCCACTTACGCTTGGCGTGTTCAGACGATGGCGGGCTTGGTAATACCCTGGGTGTTATAATGAAGAACCTTGCGATGACGCCTCCTTTACCAAGTCCTTTTCCTCCTTTGCCACGACCAGTCATTCTTGCTTGTTAGGTAGAAGAGTGGACTACCTAACCTGCCACCACCTTCCTACTGCTGCTATTGCTGCTTCTGCTGCCTGCTCACCACGCCGTTCGAAGCGAAAGTAAAATTCTTCTTTATTTTGATTTGTTATGTGGTTTACAATTGCTAATACAGGGCAAGAGGTTAGCCAGAAGGGCTCTTCATCTTTGGTGAACTTTTTGATTTTGTGTTGCACATGTTATTTTTTACTGTGTAATGTTTTTCAATTTTCTTCTTGTGAAGTATGTTGTTTGAATATATTAATTTGTTATTCTACCTACTCAACCTAACTTAACCTAACGATCCCTGACGATCTGTTGATCGGATCGCCTACAGCAATCTCTGAACCTTGCGATGGAGTCAGCTCTCCGTAACTCCAGTGTCTGAAGACCAGCCAGGCGGTGGACCTCAGAATTTCTAGTCCGCGGGGGACTGTTAAGGAGCATCCTGAGGATCTTGTTTTGGATCCTTTGGAGTTTGAGGTGATGGCATTTGGCGCAACTCTCCTAGATTGGCATCCAGTATTCTATTACAGGAAGGATGATTTGTTTGTAGACAGCAGGCTTATTTTTCAGGGACAGGGTAGACCTCCTGTTAATGAGTGGATACAACGATCTTATCAAGATGTTGCACTTGGTTTTGGTTTTGTCAACGTGCTCCCTGAAAAGAAGCTTGCTGTCTAGTGTTAGCCCGAGGTACACGACCTCTTTGGACCTTTCCAAGCAGATCTTATTATTTTCAGACGGAACAAGTCTGGGAGATTTTGAGTGTGGAAAGATGATGACCTGGGTCTTTGCCGCGTTGATACGGATCTTCCAGCTGTTGAAATATTCAGGTGTAGGTGATGGATGTGTCATCTGCGAACAGAGACAATGATCCACCATCAGGGAGAGCCGGCATATCGGAGGTGAACAGGTTGAATAGAATGGGGCCAAGGATGCTTCCTTGTGGAACCCCGGCACCGATGTTGAAAGCATCCGATGAGATGCCATTCAGAGAGACTCGGAACGTCCTGTCCGATAGATAGTTGTTTATTATCTTCACTAGGAAGATTGGACTACCATACTGCTGCTATTTGAACACCAGGCCATCATGCCAGACATTGTCGAACGCTTTTTCAACGTCCAACAACGCCATGGCAGATGTTTTCGAAACAGACTTGTTCCGTCTGAGAATGATTGTTACTCGAGTCAGCTGGTGGACGGTCGAACGACCTTTCCGAAAACCAAACTGTTCCTCGAGTAAGATGTTGTTTTGTTCGGCAGATGTTAGGAGCCGGTGGTAGACTGCTCTTTCGAACAGTTTTGATAACCCTGAGAGAAGGCTGATTGGTCGATAACTTGAAGGAAAGGACGGATCCTTCCCAGGTTTCCGAATCGGTATGGCTTTAGCTGACTTCCAACACGAAGGGAAGTAGCCAAGTCTGAGGCACTGATTAAAAATGAGTTCCAGATTCAGGATGTTGTCGAAACCTGGGACCTTCATAATTTTAGATGATTTGATAAAGGCCTACAGTTCGTCAGCCGTAATCTCAGATTCCTCTGGAAAAATGTCAGGAATCTGATGAAGATTGGTTGCATTTTCAGCAACCTCAGATTCATGAGGGCTGACGATGTTTTGTCCGAGATTATGGGAGCTGACGAAGTGGTTGACCTATCGCGGCAGCCTTCTCTTCAGGAGTTTTCAGATGAACCACTGGGTCGCCGGGACGATCTAGTGGGGTCAGTGGTGGAATGGGTCTTGGCTTATTTTTAAGGATTTTCGTTAGTTTACAGAAGGGCTTTGCAAAATCTTGATTTCTGAGGTCCACCATCCTGGCTTGGATGGTTTTTGTAAGACAATTGCAATGGGTCTTCAAGACACGTAAACCAGAACGCTGGTATTGCCATCGGATTGAGTTACGGAGTCTGATGAGATCTTTGGTAATTCTATCAAGGTTCAGAGTATTGCTCACCTGTCTGGATACTGGCACGTGTTGTTCCTTGGCTCGGGATATTGCCTCCTCGATGGAATGCAGACATCGGTCAACGTCTTCAGGCGTCTCCGGAAGGACACCGTAGTCAACAGTGGAGTCGACACAGTGTTGGAACTGATCTCAGCTGACACGATGGTAGTTGCGTCGGGAAGCTTGGATTCGGTTGACGGATGAGCCTGCTTCGGCCACCACCGGATAGTGGTCCGAACTCAGCTCCTGATGGGTCACAGGTAGCGAGATGTTGTCTCTCATGTTGCTGATGAAGATGTCTATCGTGGAGTGAAGGCCAGAACGGTTCAACCGGGTGGAACAGTCCGGCGCTAATATGGTGTAGCGAGCCTCTTGCAGGTCGTCGTTCAGAATGGTGCCGTTTTGGTTGCGTCGACTGTTCCCCCAAGCCTGGTGTTTGGCGTTCAGGTCGCCAGCGATGATGTACTTTTCGCGCTGTCGACTTAGTTTGATGATGTCCCTCCGCAGGTCTGCTGCCGACCCGTCCCTGATGGTGACTTGCTTGGGGCAGTAGGTCGCAATGATGGTGATAGGGAGACTTATATCCCAAAAGCTTCGATGGTTTTTAGCTGGAAGCTCGGCAGAAGCCGACAGCAGATGTTTCTCCTTACAGCAATGGCCACTCCTCCTCCCCCGGAGCTGGTTCGATCAAGTCTTAGAAGTCGGAAGGCAGGAAGGTAGATGTTTACCTCCGGTTTCAGGTGGGTTTCGGTGATAACGGCAATGTCGATGTTTTGTTTGTTGAGGAAGACAACGAACTCGATGATCTTGCTCTTGAGCGAGCAAGCGTTCCAGTTGGCGGTTTTGGTGGTTTCACGGTCCATAACTGAGCTGGTCGGATTTGTTCTTGATGGTGTTGGCAATGTCGTGCATCTTGAGGAAGATGATCATTAGTTCCGCTGCGGTGAACCACGAACCATCGTTGATTTCTGGCTGCGGTAGGGACGGTCCATCCTGACACCAGTTTAGCCCAGGGGATGTGGGGAGATCCTGCGGCTGTGGAGCCACGGTCGTCTATTGGCCTGAGTTTGCAGGGACTCTGGCAGTTTGAACTTGAGCGGTGGCCAATCGTTGATTGAGTGGCAGCGGTGGCAGCACTGTAATCGGTCATCAAGGTATCGGTGGGAAGTTCTGGTCATTAATTTCCGACACTTTCTTGCGGTTTCTCGTCGATGCTTTCTTCCGGATCTCGATGTTCTCGGTGTGCTTCGGGTAGGCCTTGCTTGTAGCTTTGTGATTAGCACCGCAGTTGGCGTAAATGGGATCGGCTTCATCGAGTCTGTCGCAGGCATCGGTTGTGTGTTGTTTGCCACACTTGATGCAGCGGCTGATCATATGGAAATTCTTCGTTCCATGCTCGAATAGCAGGTAGTTCGAACATTGACCGCGATTGACCGGCTTGTACCGCGCCCACTTCACCACTATGTTGAACAGGATGCGGATGCCCTGGAGATCCATCAAAGTTGTTGAGTTCTTCTCAAGGTGAACCAGGTATAGTTGGTCACGGTACTTGACGGCCTTGCTGTGGCGAGCCATCTTGTGAATTTGGACCGGCTTCAGTCCATCAGCCACCAGCTCTTCCAAGAGGACGCCTGTGTCCATGTCGTATAGTCCGCGCAGGACCACCTTGAACGGCTTAACAGCCTCGATGTCGTGGGAGAAGTACTCCACCTGTGATTGGTCCAGTATGGTCTTTATCGGCTTGTAATATTTCAATGCTGGAACCATTAGTTTGTATTCTTCCGTGCACATTTTTTCTCGTAATCCGGGAGGGAAGCCCTTCACGTAGAAGGGCGGCATTCTATCTTTCTTCGGCGGTCCTGTTGTTTCCGTCACCGGTTCTGCACAGTCCATCAGAACGAAGAACCGATTGTTGTCGAGCAGCTTCTTCGCAGCTGTCGCACTGTCACTGTTGTCTTCAGGCCTAGACCATTTCCCGGGATT